GCGTATGGCAGCTGAGCCTTAGCCTTGTAAGTATGTAACTAAAAATTAGTATAGGCATCCTAAGATATAAGCAATATAAATGCTATGTATCCTTTACATAGTCAAAAGAAAGGGTATTACATATGTTTAGGGGTGCTGATAATAAAGTGTTAACAAATAATTATGAGCTTTCAAATGTCAGGGTAATTTGGATGCTTTCTTTGCCTGGGACCAAAGAAGGTAGTATGATTTTATAAACTCTAAGAACTTTAGTTCTGGAATGGCCTTAAAACTGTCTCATTAACTTATCCCGGAATCTGAGGAACATGGCCATTATCTCCCTTAGTAAGTGGCAATGGTGAGACTAGAACTGGGACTCAAACTTGACCTTTCCCCCACTTCTCCCTTTGCTGTGGAGACAGGCCCATCCATGGATTGGCTTCCTCAAACAAGAAAGAGGATACGAGAAACTTAGTGTCCTAGCAGTCAATAGACATTAAGCACCTAAAAGATGTTCTTAACAGAGATACAAAGCAAAAATAAAACCTGTTATGAAGGTGTAACATGTAGCGACTATGTAGCCATACTGAGTAGGTTTGGATCCCAGGTCTGCTCTACCTGCTCTGTGATCTTGGGCAAGTTGCTTAACTTCTGTGCCTCAGTTTCCTGGATAATTCCTATTAAGCTTTCTATTACTATTGATCATGCTTTTATGCACTCCACTAGACCTAATAAGGCACTGAGAACTCAGTCTTAATTTTTTTTTCTTTTTAACTTGCTATAGGGTACTTGTGCTAGTGTGTTGTGTGTGTGTGTGTGTGGGGGGTGTCAATCACTCTGCAGTCCCTTTTCCATTCTTTTTTTCCGATTTCGAACATGGCTAGTGTGTTTTTAAGTTGCTGGGTTTGGGACTAGAACCTCACAGTTGGCCATGTGGGATCCAGGGGCCCCCAACTACCATGCCACGGACTTGTCCACTTTATTAAATAGATTCTGGTTGGATAAAGAAACACAAGCACCCTGGGCAGAATCCAAATAAACCTCATCATATGGACTAAGAAGTTACCAGAGTAATGAAGCAAAGGGATGGTGTCCAGAGCCACCTTTTAAGAAAACATGGGTTGCTTAAGAGGGGAGGAGACCATTCATTCAGATGGGAGGTGTTCTGGGAACAGAAGAAAAGGAGGAAGAATGAACACGTTGTAGGCCTAGGAGCCCACGGAATTGCTTATTTGTATTGGAAGGTTTTTTTTTTTTTCCTTTTTTTTTTTTTTTTTTTTTTTTTTTTTGTTTTTTTTTGCCCGCCAGACAGAGAGAGAGATTGAGACAGGGAGACAGAAAGTGAGAAATCACCCCCCAAGGGGGATGGCCACGCCAGAATCCCTTCTCCTCCATTCTCCTCTCGGGATCTTGGGCACACACGCACACGCGCCTGGCGTGAGTTTTAAGCCACCGGGTCCGGGACGCGAACTGCGGTTGACTACGTGGGAGTCCAGCGACACAGCCATTACGCTAACTGCTGGTCCCTGGGAGTTTCTGCCGTTGGATGCTATGAAATAACCAATGGATTAAGGAATAAAAAGTCGTGGAAGATCTTGGGAAGTTGCCAAAAGCCTCGAGAATTATTCTAAATGCGTGACATGCTCTCAGGACTCAACTTTCTCTTTTAGGTTTGGAGGGCCCGCAGTAAGTGTGCTTTAAAATAAATGGGGGAGTGGGAAAGGAAAGGAGCTATGCAAAATACCTAGCATTCATCGATAAACAAAGTTCATTGTTGCCTGAGATCGAAAAGATTACCTTAACAAAAGGAGGATTAATTCAAAATAGATGTTTAACCTGTGCACAGTTAAACATCCTAATTCATCATTCCGGATCTATTTGGCTAAAGCCTGTGCGACGAGAGCTGCCATTACTCACCCGCCAACCCAAGGCCTCAGCAACCGACGTGCAAAGCCGAGAGGAAAGGCGAGTGGTAAAGGGCGCTCCACGCATGCGTTAGAAGCTGCCCCAACTCCCCCGCGGTGTCTTTTCTTGGAACAAAACTAGCGCGGAGCCACAGAGCTCCGCAGTTTGCGTAGATCAGATTTCCTACTGCTCCGACTATCCTGTGTGGAATCCGCGAGTGGTGCAGTTCCCCTACGCAAGCGGCGTTATCCGAAGTGAATGGCTGGGTGGTACGTGTACGCCCGTAGCGTAGCACCCATAGGCGGACGGGGTGCGGCTGCGCAGGGACCTGAGTGGGCCTAGTACGCCGCTAGCGTAGCAGGGTGTCTGACGCGCGGGCTTCCGCGACGCAGTTAGCGCAGCCGGCTTTGGAGAATACACGATTTGGTGCAGCCGGGGTTTGGTACCGAGCGGAGAGGAGATGCACACGGCACTCGAGTGTGAGGTAACTATAAAACCCCGATTTGTTTACATTCCCTCCCCCAGAACCGGCCCCATGCGCGGCGGAGGCTGCGAGTCCCGGGACGTCCGGGGGTTAGAAAGGGAGGACAGAACCGGGGAGTCGGGGCCGGGTCTCGGGGGGACCCGGGCGCTGGGGTTCCCGCAGCTGCTGCAGTCTGAGGCGGCGGCGAGCGGGAGCTGGGCGCGCGGTGGGCAGTGCGAGAGGCTCGGCGGATCCTCGTGTGCGCTCGGGGCGGCT